TGCTCCATATTATCACTGGGAAGTAAGAGGATTTTTATATGTATATATTTTATAAATTTGTAAACTTATATATAAAACAATTACTTTATATATGAAGGAAAAATGTGTGTGACTATGTTGCCAATAGGTAGTTTTATAGATAAGGTTTAATTTAATATCATTAAATCATTTAATTATATAGGTATTTTATAGGTAAGGATCTGATTTGGAGCATCCAGTTTACCAACTTTGGGATATCTTTATTTAGTGCATTTAGCATTTTAAAACACGTGTTGGTCTAAGTATGAATCTGGCTGATGTCATTTATGCTTCCCAGTGATCATCAGCTCCACAGCCAATGCAAAAAGGGTCTAGAGTTTATGAAGTTTTCCATAAATGCTATATTTAGCTGTACATAGGAATTCTCCAGAAAGAAGAAAATTCCTGTTCTCCAAAGCAAGATGAGTTGAACCTTCTCATTTGCCATGTGGCATTCTCCAGGCTTCCTTGTAATACTGGGATGGCCTGTAATACTCCTAGAGGTGTCTATGAATACTTTTTCTTTTCTTACTTGGATGACTTGAGAGCTGTGGTCAGAAACACTTCAAACACTACATTTCGGAATACAGTTTTCCTGTATTGTTCCTTGGTGGACTTTCCAAACAGTCTTTCCCTGGAAGTAACCCCTACCTTGACCTTCTGCAAGCAGAAAAGGTGGTTGGGGGACATGATACCTGGGGATGTGTAGCAGGGTTTCTTTTGTTTTGTTTTTTTTTCATATGGGTTGGGGGTAGATTCTAGAGAAAGTGTCTCCAGGATCATCAGACAACCTTTACAGCTCCAATTGAACTGAGCTGATACAGGACTATCCCTGTGTGAACCAGTTACACTGCTGAAGAGTTTTATTTCTGAGGAAGCCTTTGCCTCACAGCATATTTGTAGCCCTGGTTTGTGTTTCCCAGCCTAAATAATGACCTCTTGGCCTGCCTGTTAACAGAGAGGAGCAATCTTAGACCCATTTAAAGAGTATGTCTATACCAGAATCAATTACTTGATGTCTCCTTTTCTGAACAAGATTATTTCAGTTTTTCACTGTGTGATCTGTGTGTATCCTGCAGCCAGACTGCCACCTCCCTGCAGGCTGCCTCTGGTCTTCAGATCCTACAGGCAGCATTATTTCTCTAAAGGGCAGGCCTGGCCACCTTGAACACCTTTAGAACAGGTACACAGGGAAGGGCCTATATAATGTTCCCTGTTATTTGTTGTTATTTTGGCTTTGTGTTTGTCTTAACTCATAACTGTTGGTAGCTGGGTTGCTCTGCAGTCTGGAGAGGGTCCCTGGTGATCAGCCTGCTGGGTGACAGGTTTATTTGACTATCTTGTTGTCAAGATGGCATTTTGCCCAACCCCTGATCAATTCTGTTACAACTCTGTCCAAAATCACTGCTGTGTAAATATTCTGTAATATTATTAATATTTTTAATTTATTTCTTTTATGTTCATTTAATATTTATTATTCTTTAGAATACTTTTCTTTAGTATTTTGCAGAAAACTAGTGCAGCAAGATGCTCGGTTTGCTGGGGGGCAAGCAGGAATACATGGGCTGAGGAGATGGACACGAATGGCCTTTCCAGCTTGTTGCCCATCTGTGGCTGTGGGGTATCCAAACAAACTGTGGAGTGTTAAGTCATCAAGCACAATGAGCAGACCTAACAAAACCAAGCTGTGTCTCATGAATTACAGAAAAGGGAAGGCTTCAGTTCAGACCATCTGCAAGTCAGCATATTCTACATATTGGGTCCTAATTTCAGTCCTTTTTGGAAGTGATCTGCTGAAATGTAGATGATAAAAAAGAAATGCCCTCAAAGAACATTTCATATCTGTATGCCATTTTTCTATTCAAGGTGGTTTTTTACTGGCTGCCCTAATATCTGTCCATCAGCAGGACAGCATGAGAATTCAGGACTATTAAGAAAAAGATGTTCAGTGAAGAAGCCCAGTGAGGATTTTTGTCAAGGCTTAAGGAACAGTTTTTCATTGGCATAAAAAAAAATCCTCTAAATGAATAATACATAGTGACACAAGGAGGCAATTATGTGTAATTCTCTGTTCCCATATGAAAAACCTTCCATGGTAGTCTCTTCCTTATGACATCACTGCTCACCAGAGACGAAACCACTATATAATTTTACAGAATGTTGGGAAATGCTTGGGCTTTTCACTTTCCACCATCACTAGATTAAATCCCTGCTTTTTACTGCAGAATTAAGTCAGCCTATTGGGCTGGGAGCTTCCTGGTGAGTGAGCATTGTGGTGACATGTTCAGAGTGTACTGAGGAAAGCAGTGGCTGTGAAGGAAGAAACAGCCTGTGCTCCAGTTTGATTCACAGTGTTCAGAAGTATCTTTTCCACTAATGTGTGAGACTGCAGCCTGGTATTGAAGGCTCGTAGAAAACCTTCCTCAACCCTAAGAATCAGGAATCAGTGTCCCTTTCTCTCTGTGGGAGCATCCTTTTCCAGCAGCACCTCTTCCTTCCCTTCGTCCAGCTGCCAGGAGGTGCTGTCAAGGGTTTGCATGCTCTCTTTTAGGAGGTAAACCATGCTGGGGGACAGTGAGGCAGCAGGGGAGGAAGGCAATGGGGACCTGTGCCTGCATTTCCAAACTAGGAAGTGCAAAGCTTTACACAGATGCACAAAATGGAGTCATACTGTCCGTAAGGGTGTACGGGACCACCTGTTTACAGCAGAGCAATGTGGCCGCAGGCCAGCAAAGCGGCAACTTCTCTCTCCACCGAGATAGTCAGACAAAGCCCGATGGGGGACAAATGTAGTGGTTTTGTTTTACTCCCATGGAAAAATTCACAAGGAGTGGAAGTTAACCCACAATGACTCTTTCCAGGGAAACCGAACTGATTTCAGGTGGTGCTGATGAGTCCTTTGGTGAAAGTGAATGAGCTTTTAGATCTCCTGAAAAGTGAAAGGCAGCATCCCCAAACCCCTCTGAAGAATAAGGTTGCCAAATAAGTTTAACAGTTTGCGCCTCTTTTAATGGAAATATCACATATTTATGCACATAAACACAGTAAAGTACAAAGGATTAGAAAATGGGCTTAATTTTCAGCCCCCAATTCTAACATACTGTATGTTAATCCCTGAGAGCACCTGTCAATTGTCTATCTCTTGCAAGTGATACTGAAAGTGCAAATTCAAGTGCTCACCTGCAGCACAGGTTGCTTTTCAGATACTGAATCTGAGTGCTAATCTTCAAAATGCTAGGTTGGCAGTAAACAAAAATTATTAGTTAAACCATTCAATCCAATTTAATTCAAAATCCATCCTGATACCTTTGCCACAGACAGCTAAAAGATTGTCTTCCTACTCTCCAAAGTAATGAGTTCAGCTTATATTCTGGTCACTCCAAAGCCATTGTAAAATTGTTGCCTATGAATTGCACAGCACTGATGCACTTGCAGACTAAAATCCTCTTCATATTCACAGGAAGTGTATTAGCAGGTGCATATTCCTCCAGCTCTGACCTGGGAGTGTACCTGGCAATGCAGTCTGACCAGCACAGCTACTCCAGCAAGAAGTAAAAAGAACAAGCTGTGTGCAAAATCCTTGTTTTAGGCATCTGTCATAACCTCTGTCAAGCCCTGACACCACAGATGCAAGGTGGCAGTGCTGATCTGAGCACTAGTTTTCAATCAACTGAATTTATTTCTCCCATGACATGCACAGTTTCATTACAAATTCAGTGAGACCACGACCAGGTTTTGTGCTGTGGGAGTAAAGGATGGAAAAGTTTCCCCTCTCTTTAATTAAAGGGAGAAGCCAGTGACAGCAGGAGGTGGGGTCTGCCTGGCTTCCAGCACAGCTACACCTTCAGGAGGACACACCACAGCACATTTCAGTTCAAACAGGCACAAAACCCGAGCAAAACCTTACCCTGAGATGTGCTGTATGACTTGCTGTTTGTGTTTGACCTCTACTTCTATGAACATCATCTTTCTTCAGCAAGCAGCAGGTTTACAGCCCTTCCTTATCAGAATTTGCCAGGGTTTGGTAGGCTGCTCAGGCTGACTGCTGGTAAAACCAAAGGAAGCCTTAACATGGACTGCAAGAACCTGCAGCAACCTGTGGGAACTGCTGCTTGGAGATGCACTTACATACTAGGGAAGGTTTTCTCCCAGTGTTGAGAGAGAGAGGGGTGAGGTACTGCTCTCCCCGGGCACCCAGAGGTGTAGTATCAAAGATTACAGTGACATCTGACCACATTAGTGCCTGAGCTACCTGATACTGCATTTCGTAGTATATAGCTGGACTTGATACCTGGGAAAATTGAACTTCTTCAAGCTGCATAATTTTCTTGTCCTGGCTATAATCTGGAAAGGCTCACAATAAACCTGGTTTTTAAAACAGGAATTTAAATATCAACCTGAAAAAAGCCCACCTGTGCCTCACCATCTCCCTTATTTCACATTTAAATGCAATGACAAAAAATTCCCTGAGACTAAAGAGGAAACAACAGATAACGGATAAAGGGAAACCTAACAGGGGAGGCAAATCTTAGGTGATGGTGGCATTCAAATCTTATCTCAGCTTCTCTGTGGCTTCAAAGAAATCAGTCCCTGCCCTTGATTTATACCTGCAGAAGATGTGAATACCTCAACTGCAGAGATATTTCATATGCAGCCCTTTTTATATTCAACAGAGCAAGCAATATACATTAAGACCTGTATCCATACAGACTGTATAGAGCTGTACAGTTTAATACCTATCCTTAAACTTTGTTTACTGGAATAGAAATAAAGTGCTTAGTATATCCAAAACAATTGAAGACCTGGATTTTCACTGCCACCAACAATGGTATGTTTTAAACTTTTCATTATTACTATAAAACCTTGCAATACATCTACCTATGGAAGGAGAAGAAGGAATGTCTAGTGTCAAAAGCACAACTCCTTCATTTTGTCCATTACAAAATGAACAAACACAAAATATAATCCTGTCACATATATGTTGTTTTTCAAGCTGTTTCTCAGTCATTCACCTGGAGCTGGTAAAACAGGAATCTGCAAGAGGACTGCACCACTTAGAACTTCCTCTCAACAGCAGACAGGCAAACTTAGTAAGTCTTCCACCTTAAAATATATTTGTGCTCCAGCATCAGACATGCTGTGGCATAACCCTTGCTGTATTTCTGCACTTTAAAGGCCATTGCTCAGTATTCCAGCTCCATGAACAGTGGGCCTGCACAAAGGCATTCAGTCTGTTATCTTGCTCAGATAACAAGACTAGTAGCTCAAGAACCTTCTAAATAACTGCCTTTAAATCAGGTCCTGCTTCGGGTAGGAGACACCTGCCTCAGCTTTTGAGTTTCTGCTGCTCTGTTCTTGTCCTGTTCCTCTGCCTTCTTCCGCTCCTCTTTTAGCTCCTTGTATCTCCATTTGGGAATCTGCAAATAGGGGTCATCCTTTGCACTGCTCCTCCTTCTCGCCTTTTCTGGCTGGAAGGTGGGTGGAGGAGCCTTGCTGACACGGACTTTGGGGATGACAAATCCTGGCCTGACGCTGCTCCGTCTAAGCAGGTGAAGCGGTAGGAGGCTTGCTTTCCTCGTGGCTACTGTGTTCACTGCAAAGCTGATGGGCTGCAGACTGGCTCGACGTTCCTTCTTCTTGGGGATCACTGTGACTTTGGAGTTCTGAAAGAGCTTCTCGTAGCTGCTAACGTGATCTTTGTCTTGAGATCGGATCTCCTCTGCTCTCTGCTTCTTAAGGATTTCCTGCACGGCCAGTCTGCGTTTACCGACAGAGGGTGGGCTGCCTGGGCACACAGTCCGGCATGCCAGAGCAATGAAAGGACTGCCCAGGCTTGTTGTCACCTTCACCATGTGGTCAAGGACCCCATCTTCTTCTGGGCCATAGAAAGACCGGAATGAAACAGCTGCCCGTACGCACTCAGAAATCTTCTGCAAACAGCTTTTTGGCTCTGCAGCCTTGGCAAGAAGTTCCTTCATCTTTGGCCATTCTGGTTTATATTGATCAGAAAACTGTTCTGGGCATGGCCTGTCCATCAACTTTTGCATGATGAAGGCAGATTCTGATCTTCCTGTGAAACAAGCCCATTCCCATGAAGTCAGTCCACGGCTTGGGTCAGTTGCATGGACATTTGCCCCTCAAAAAAAAAAAAATCAACGAAAACCAATTAGTGTTAATTAATGAAGTGCTCACACTTTTGTTGCTATGATCAGAGGTGAGTCCCTGCAAGAAAATGTCATATAAGATACACAGTAATATTTGTATCAAAATGAAGATGCGCTAAGGACAGATCAGGTTCCTCACTTTCAGAACTCCTGATTTATTTAAAACAAACTAAAAAATAATAAAGCTGTATATATAAAATTCTCTTAATACAAATAATGAAATAATGAATTTCAGCTGCACTTAATCTTGACTGGCATTTTAAAATCCATTCACTTAGCTGACAAGAAGAGAGTGATGAATATGGAAAGAAGCAATTCTGTACACAAAAATCCTCCCCATACAGAATACTGGACTTTGCAGTGATCACTACCACTTGTAAGGGAGATCTTGGCCTAGTGATCACAATTTCCATGAAAATATCAACACACTGCTCACTAGGGGTGAAAATAGCAAATAAAATACAAGGAATTTCTAGAAACGCATTTAAAATGGAGAAAAATAGAAAGAAAAAAAGGGGAGTAGAGAAAACAAGTGTGCAATTCATGTTCTCTTGCCCCAAATCTTCGTTTGCGAAGACCAGCCATGACGATGATCTCTGAAAGGACAGAATGGAATTAGGAAATGTTGTGAGGATGGTAACAAGGGTGAACAAATATAAGGAAAGTTACCATAAATGTCAGAGAGTAGATAATGAGTGAGATGGACCTTCAGCCTGAGCCCAGAACAGCTGTTCTCATCTACCTGAGATTACGAGCCCTAAGGAAATGAAGTAACTGGTAGCAAAAACACACTGTTACTGCCAAGTGGACCAGCCATGAGAGGCAGCTGGGGCACTGGTTAGACAGCAGAGGCCTAGACATTTGAAGTACAGTCTCAGGTCCTGAAAGAAAATGATTTCTAGTGACCTGTCCTCCGATTCCCAATTTATGATCTTTATCCCTCAATTCTGACATCTGTCCCCATCACCATTCTTTTTTTTCATATGTTTCTCCATCCCTCTCCATCTTTGCCTTCCTTTTGACCTCTTCATGTTCCCATAAGCCCCCAAAGATAGGTTTCTTCCCTTGTTCTTCCCTCTTATGCTTTCAAGTTGCGTTACACTCTTCTCCTCCTTTACAACTTAGTACTATATCCACATTCCTTGTCAACCAGGAAATTGCAGGGAAGTCCTCTCAGTTATGGTATTAGGGTGGGACTGTGGGCATTTGTCCATGAGGGTGGCATGTGCCCAGTTCTGCTTACACAGAAGAGTTCTGTAAAGGACAGTGGAAGCTCAGTACAAAGTACACTTGTGGAAGAATTGCTGCAGAATGAGCAGCAACAAGTAGTTTTGGAAGCTGAAGCTAGCAGGACACTGTTGCAAATGCCCAACACATTACAGCTGGTGAATGCTAAAGGGTGCAAAAGGTATGTCCAAAAACTGGCTTGTTGTCAACAATTAAAAAGAATCTCATAGATGTGTCAGGGACTTGACAACTGGCACATATCCTGTGAATTGTACCGAAATGACCCTGGGCACACCACCTGGGCACACACATCTTGATGTTTTACAGTATGTGGGCATGTAGGTGAATGAATTAAATCAATAAGAGAATGAGTGAATATGCTGGTTGCAGACAGAGATGTTTTTAAGCTGAAAATTCTTTGTTTTATATTCTACCTTTGAACTTCGACTGATCTCAGAGGGAGCTTTGCATGCTCCAGCGTGCAGACTTTGTTCAGCAGGTCTGTAGCACATTCCCTGGGACAGGCACTTTGCCCAGCTGCTTTAAATGTAACTCAGCTTTGCAACGTTCAGTCACAGTTTACACGTTACTGGCCCTGTAGATAATTTCTGGGTTCCTTGAAAGAGTTTAAAGCTGGAATATGAACAAGGTTTGACTTATCGAAGGGCTTCTATAGCAGATGAAGCACCGTTTTCAAACAGTAAACACAAAACAGACCTACACAGATCTTTCCACAAAAGAAAAGACAATCTATCCCATAACTTTGGAAGAAGGAGATGTCCAGAGATTGAGACCTGAGGAAAAGAGTAGAGAAATACCATGATAATTTTTTTCTTCAGGATAGATTATCTTAGTGATAGCATTTCAAATTAGAATAAGGAGGAACTTAATATAAGGAATGGTAACCAGGAATTGGTTTGTGATGGGTTCAATATAACCTTCCCCACAAAGGAAGTTTTGTCATTACAGGAAAACAAAGGAAAAAACTCACTTTTAACCCTATTAAGTACAAGTTGACTCCTAAGTCAACTGAGAAAATTGCTAAAAAGAGGATGCTAGAGACACAGATAAGAGTGAACATGGACAGAGATAACCTAAGCAAAAGAGCTGATCTCAGTTTAAGTGTAATTTGAGTGAAATTTGCAGAAAGGACAATTCAGAGAGAAAGAGCACAGGCGTACTGCACGAGTCAAGCATGGGGCCCAGATTGGAAGACAGAAAGGAGGCAAAGAGGAGGAAGAGTCAATCAAATCAAAGAGTTCATTAGCTCTGGATTGAAGAAGGGATTGCAAGATCTCAGAGGCAGCAGGGTTTGATGAGGTTCATGACTGCAGAAGTTCCAGTTAAACCACTCTGGAGAGGAAAAAAGACATACACCCTCCTGCTTCACTAGCCTGTTTTGAAACTTCCTACCCAAAGTTCCTACCCTTGAATCTCTCACATCTCAGGGTAGCCTCTTGCCCTACTTAGTTCCTTCTTAACACTTGCCTGGATCTGTCCTCCTTCCCACTAGAGGTGACTGGGACCATGGCAGACTATGTGGAAGTTGTTTCCTTGTTGTACATGTAACAAGCAAGGAATTAATACAGGAAGAAGAGAAGCTAAAGGAATTGTTTTCAAATATAAAATTTAATTCTCAGCTTGTAAACAAGCAAGAGGTATAGACAGCTGTTTACCATTATCTTCAAGAAAAAGTAATTCCAGCTCTGATATGGTGCATCCAGGAGACCTTGGATCAGAGTTGTTAAAAAAGAGCAATGTGGGAAAGCGCTCACTGGGAGTTCCCCACCTTTGCCTGGGAACTGCGCTCAGCTCTTTTCCTTGTCTGAGATAAGCCTGGCCATGTGCCTTGCTGGTTTGGACCCTGATCCACAGACTTAATTTCTTGTTTGACCTCAAGACTATCTTGTCTCTACAGACTATCCCTTGTCACCTAGGCTGCCCAACAACCACTGCAGTATTGGCTGATCCTGTCACAAGCCCTGCTCTGTTCCTTCAAGGAGTGCCTTTGTTGATGAGGCTAGTGCTGAGGCCATGCTGTCACCATTGGCTCACCTCCCTTTGAGGAGTAGCCTGCTCCTGACAGATAAGTCACCAGGGCTTTTGGAAAGTTTATCTCAGAAAACAATACTATGGAGTATTGAAATCCCAACCTTTCAACAGAAATCAATGCTCACTTTGTACCTTGTATCACAAAATCTTTTCTAAGGTGTGATTTAGTGTAGTTGTATTGATTTTCTGTACAAGTCAGGAGACATTTCTCAACAAAACTGTCATTCAGTGGAATGCCTTATCTGAAATAGGCATGAATAGTCATGTGCCTTTGTAAATGTGATAGCTGTCTTATTGAACTAATTGTCATTTCAATGTAAGCATAGCCTACAAGTTCTCTTTTAAGAAAACTGCACTTGCCACTTGCCTTGCTTTTCCTAAAAAGTTGCCCTGAAGATCATTTTTCAGCACAATTAGTTTGAATACAGATGCTCCTTTAGGATATCAATATCGTGTTTTATTAAGAAGGTTGAATGTCCTCTGAGATGCAAAATTGACACCTGAGTTTAAAAATGGGGAGTGAGGAAGGTCAGGTATTGTTACCAACCTGAGCTTGGTTGCCTACTGAGGCAGGCAGTATTTAAAACTCAGTCTCCAAATCTGTGGCCACTCTGACAACTTTACTAAAGCAGCACTGAATTTACACTGGAGATTACAGCAGGGCTTGACACGTGAATAACAACCAGCATTTCTGGCTGGCTCGCTTGATGAGTGCTGGCAGTGGCGCAGTCCTGGCAGCGCAGCAGCCTGTGACAAACTGCCGATGAGAGACTGAGTTCCCCCTTACTCGCTGTGCACTCACGAATAGCAAATTCACACGTTCCAAAGACTCACTTTGAAAGAGCGACATTACGTCCAAGTGTCTCAGAGTGCCTTAATCTTGTAGTGATTGACCTTGGCCACCCTCCAGGAACTCAAATTTCAGAAAGAGCAGTCACTTCAACAATCCAGCTCCAACCATCTGTCACACATTGCTGTTACCTTTTTTCCCATCTGACTGTGCTACGTCCAGCATTCAATCCAGATTTCAAATCCAGCTGGGAAAGTGAGTTATTTTGCTTTACTGACCTCCTGCGTTGCTGTAAGTAGCTGGCCATCCATAGAGGTCTTACCCAAGCCACTGAACAAACACTGGGTTTAAACACCTCTTGGCTGTAACTCTTCTCTAAACACACATACCTGCTTTGTAGCTATGCAAGTAGACCCACAGCTGATTATGGGTGTTCCTTCCTATGTTGCCATGCGTTTTTACGTTTTAACAGAACTTTGCCAGTTTATTTGTGAAATCGATTTTTTCACCAAATCTTTTAATAACAGTTCCTTTTACCTTCTTCAGCACAGTAGCACTTTATTGTCAGCAGTCACTCAGTATCCCTTAAGTCCCAAACAACTTCTAAATCCATTCTGAATGAACATCTTCCTCCTTCCATTTCAGCAGACTCTGCAGTGCTAAAAAGTACTCAGATATTAAAATGGGTGCAGGCAATTTACCACACTTCCTTTGTGTCCCTTATTTTGAGCTGAAAAGGTGAGGAACTGCAAAACACTCACCAAAACATGTATATAAATTGCAATGTAGAAACTCAAGAGCATAACTCTAGACCTCTTTAGTCAGTGGATGATCTTTGGTATCCTCACTGTCTCTGATGCACAAGCAGGCTGATACAACTTTCTGTAGGTAAACTCAAGGTAGAGGACAAGAAAGCCATTTTCTGGATTGCTAAAGGTTTGTTCTCCCTGATATTCTGTTTTCTTTTGAATCATGAAAACAAGAAGGTGGCTATTCAGATGCCAGAGGCAGCAACCACAACGGTGAACTTTGATGTCAGTACTTTCTGTACAAGAATCAGAATAACAAGGACTGAGTTATCTACAAAGCTGAAAGGTTGTGAAATAGCTTCTAGTGACCCAAACAGAAAGAACAAGCTTCCATCACATCTCTAATGAGAATAATAGAAGGTATGACACTGTAAGGCAAATTAGACAAGTCATAAAGTCTTAGGATTGAAGTTTCTTTTTAAGATTCATAATGGGCACTGGAAAATTCCAGACTAGCATCTGCACAAAGAATGTGTTAGTCCAGAAAGTGCATCTGTTTCTAGCAGTATGCTAGCTCTGACAGTCATTTCATAATTTTTTTGTCAGAAAAATTTAACTCCAAGATTAATGATCGGATTCCAAAGCCCTGATTCCAGTGTAAGAGGCTACAGAACCTTGGAGAAAATGACATGCCAGTCACCACATCATCTAAACATTTTCTGTGTCATATTGATGTCTAGAAACTGGATAGTATTAAATGAATTATAGTAATATCACTACGCTCGATAAATTCCTGTGGCTTAAAATATTTTGATTATGAGCGTTTAGACTTCCGTGACAGCAAAATCACTGAAATGAACTACTCATTCAAGATCTCTCTCAATGAAATGGACTTGTAGGACTCTTGGTCTAGACAATAACGATATTCACATGCCATTTGTTATAATTTCCATAATATCTAATTTGTGTCAAGTATCTGCAACTGAAATAAAAGAATATATACTAATATAAGCTAGCTATTTAATTAGTATAAAATGATTTATATACAAATTACTCAATATTAAAATACCATACAACATTGTGGCTGAAAGATGCTCTATGCTAGACTCCTCCTGTAGAGGCTGTTACCCCTCCAGGGGCCTTCTGAGTCTCTTCTCCAGGACCCCTTCAACTTGCAGTGCAATACAGCTGGAAATTCAACTGCAGACAATAGCTAATAGCAAGAAACATAATTCCTGTTCTCAGATGTGAAAAGAGACAGCTGGGAAGAGATGGACCTGCTCACTCCCTGTGCCATGACTCCCTCCTTGCAGCAAAGACAGACCTGCTTGTGCCCTGTTGCCCATAAACCTGGAGACCAAATTCAGAACTGTAGAGGCATTAGAAGAAAATCTACATTACCAAATTTCCCACCAGTGTTCCCTGTGGGATATGGCTCCTACACCCAACTCTCCTGATGGGAGCCAGAGCCTCCAGAGCTCTCCAGTCCCTGCCCCAGCTGGAGGCACAAGTGGAGGTCTGGCTGTGGTCCCACTACCATCATGCAGGCAGCAAGAGACCTGCATATCTTCCCCAGCTGTATAATGAATTTCGTTAGCTCCTTTTCTACAGATTTTGATGCTTCTGCTCCCCAAACTCTCCTGGAGATAATGAATCTCACCCTGACAGCTCTTGGAGAACTCCTGGATGAGATTCTACAGGCAAACTGAGTGCCCCTGAACCCGCAGCACGTGCCTTCACCACCTTGTCTATGACTTATTTAAAAGCTGCACCCATTTCCAGGGAAGGCTGCGCCACAGCTCACAGAGCAAACATTTCAAGAGCCAGTTTTCTTCTTGGTGTTTGTGTATGACTGTCTAGTATTTAGTTAGATGAAGACAAAGAAGCAGCAAAGCACTTTGCATACCTGCCATCATCAAGGCTTTCACACATTCTGTTCGGCCCTGCATTGCAGATTTCATCAGTGCTGTGAATCCAAATGCATTCCTCTTCTCAATATCAAGCCCGGGAAAATAGTTCAACAAATAGTTTGTAATGGTTATGTGCCCTTTAAAGAAATGAAAAAGCAGAGAAAATATGTCACAGAATGAAGGTACTCCCTCAAGGTTAAACCAAAAATTACTCCTGTGGGTTTGATAACTGCAAAATGCAGATAATTAATAAGATCTCTTTTCTTTGTGTACTCTTCCAGTCATTGCAGTTATCAGCCTTTGGCCTGAGGGTTGCAATCAGCCTTAAGTGGCACTGACTTGTGACCAGAGTGTTGAGATAGAAGGTGAAAAACGGGTTCCCACCTTCTCTCAAGTTGCTCTCCTTTCTGAAAAGTCAGTTTAAGGTAAGGGAATAATTGAAGGCCAGAGATGGTTCACTCTGAGGTTGCAAGGGGCCCCAGTTTCTTAACTCAATGAGTAGCAGTGCAAAGGGAATCCCTACATCTTAAGGAAGGATGGCCCATCACCATGGGTAACTGACTGCAAACCTTTTTCCCTTCCCTGGTAAAACTGAGCCTTACAATCATGGTGCTTCATTAAAAAGTGATGATTACGTATAGGTGTTTCAGCCAATAATACTTAAAAAACATGTCAGGCCTGATATGAGAGAAAAGACTATTTTGTGTAGGATCCCACATTTTTCTTTTTCCATCTGACAGTGTAAAGCCACTTCTCTACTCACCAGTAAGAGGAAAATGATGTTCGGTTTTGGTAGTAAAAAAATTCATGTGCCTTGTATGCCAGGATAACTGGTGTTAGCAAGGGCCTACTGAGGACCTGAAGACATCTCTGGCTAAATGGTTGGAAGATCAATTAAGACATCAAATCTTTATAATTGGACTCTCAGGCAAATAGCGAGTGCCATTATGACTCATTTAAAACAGTTTTCCCTTCGCTTGTCAATCATTTTATGATGCTTTGATGCTTTATAAAATAATGCAGTCTGTCAGGCAGCTGCAACAATCACAATTGAATTACTAGGAGCTGTAAGAATATTCTCTCATATCACTCTGCAGTCCGGTTGAATATTCTGTGATGCATGACATTCAAATTCATCTAGAAATGGTACTGAAGCAGATTATAATTTATACAGGACAATTTAAAAAATCTGTAGTGTCACATCTGGTCCAAATTTAATCAGCAGTCGCTTTGTAGCAACACAGTCCTGCACTCACTTTGAAAAACAAGTTAAGAAAATCTATACTGATTAATTTAAGATATTTTGCAGATGTTACTCTTTTTCTCCTATAATTTTTTATGCTCCGCTACCTTTCTGCATAACTGGAGACTCTCCTGAAACCTGAGCATATGTAGAGATAGTGCAGACAAACTCCAGAGTCTGAGAAAACCAAATGAAGAGCTCCCAGTACCTTGTGCAGTCTGATGAGAACGAAATATAAAGATTCAGCAAACCACAACAAGAAGAACAAAGCGAAAGTGAACTGGGTTCAGGGCAGGATCGAGTGACCTGGTCCTGCTTACACAATACAGAGGCTTCAGCTCCACTGACTTTATGGAATAAGATCAGATCCTAGCAGGGTATTGGTTACTACTGAGAGAATCTTTGTGCCCAAATTGTTTTGCACGACACTGTCTGTCTCACTGATGTAGAGCATGTGTCTTCATGAAGGCTTTGGAAAAGTTGAAATACTGCTTTTTGACCACAGAAACCAGAGACAAACTGAAACAAGGAGAAATAATAAAGTGGAAGATTTTTCAGCAGTTATTACATCACTAACGATTTTCGTCCCTTTGTCAAAAGTATAATTGCAGTAAGAGATGTTTTGCAAATCTGGGGTGATGCTAAGAGTTAATCCTGAAAGACCTTGCTCAGCCTAAACTCTCCAGGGGACTACAGATGGCTTTAAATGAGACAGGAAAAAATACCAACAATAAAATAACTAAGAAAGTTAAGGAGTTTGAGATTCTCAGAAGTTTCATGTCTCAGGGATTCCTTAGAACCTCTTCAATTTTATTCTGCAAGATCTTCTATCCTCTGAGGTTTGCTTCAGATTTCTGGTTCAAACAGATCTAAAATTCAAAGCAAAACTCAGAGCTGCCAAGTTTTTGTTCAATCCCTGTCATACGCTTTTGATTTAAGGCCATGAATTTGCTTTGGTTCTCCTGTGTCTGGGTGCACTAGCAGTGTGTACCTAAATCATAAACCAGGTGAGTCTTCTGTGATGTAAAGTCTGCTATGGAAGGCGTATGCAGCTCTAAAATAAACGAGCCTGGCCTCGGCCAGTTTGGGGATACTGAATTCAAATCAGGCGTTTGCTGTTTGCAAGCCAGATCTATCTTCTACCAGAACTGGCATGCTAAAGGTACACTTCTTCTCCCTGGGAGCCATACTTAGAGATCAGCACAGATGTCTGTAATAGCTTAATTCACTTAATTGCTGCCACAAAGGAAATGCCTGTAATGATGACAATATTGCCTAATAATCTATGTAAAACAGGCAGAAGGATAAGCTGCATAGTAAGGAAGATGCTTTGTCAAATAACATTGCTATTTTGGATTGTACCTGCAAAACACTTTTGTTTAGTTTGTGGATGGTGAATGGATGGAACAAAAGACACCCAGCATGCTTTATCCTCTGAGTGTTTTAGGTGTTTGTGTTCTCATGTCTTTCTTAATGAACAGAACCTGAGATAACTTCCAATTTTGTGTTTTCGTAGCTCTACAGCCTTGCCCCAAACTGGTCCCTGTAATGTAAAATATCTATACTCTGTAAGCAAATATGACTCTGTCTGAACACCAGTGCATGCCAATTACCTTACACTGATGTAGCTATGTCCCCATCAGCAACAGAACTGACAAAAAAAAAAAAAATAAAAGTAATTTTCCTCCTTCTCCCTTCTCTTTTTTAAATCACTCTCCTTCCTCCCTTTCTTTGCACTTGTTATTTCAATCTCTTGTTTGCATCAATCCCTACTTTTTTTCTGCATTGTCCTCATAATGATGTTTAATGATTTTGCTTCTGCTTCAACAGCATCACCATTCATTTCTGGGCACCACCTGCTGCAGGCTGCAACGAATTTACAGTTTTGGAAGGCAAGCTGTCTTTGAAAAGGGATATAAGAAATAAGAAATATTGAGAAACCAAATGAACAGACCAATTTTTGAAGCTGAAATTTACACACAAAGCAGGACACTTTGTGGTTATTTTTGAATACCAGTAAGCTTGTTAAGAAAGTACTGCTTTTCACTGATCTGTCCAAGCTGTCTTTCTCAGGACAGCCCATGCAAAAAACTTCAGCTTTAGATACTTTTTTTGAAGGATGAGAAAATCTCAAAAGCAATATGAGAAACTGAATTCACTTATCTTCTGAGACACAGATTTGAGCATTGCATCTGGGCAGTCATTAAATGGCATAAGCAAGTGTGGATTTTAAACTCCACTAGCACAAGTAAATAGACCTCTCTGTCATCTCCCTTGGCATCTGTACCTCATAATACAAATGCAGCCTCTGCAACATAAGGAACAATTCCTCTGGACTGCAGCTTTTGTCCCATCCAGCTCCTCTTTGGGGTCTGGACGTACATGATGGCTCACTTGGCCAGTGGATCATAACAAAAATAGCAGCACTTTCTGAAACCTTCTAATATTACCTTACAATTAACTGAAATATTGTGGATTTGCTATTAGACTTTCCATAGGAAAACCCATATTTTGGTATAAATAACAGTGATCTCAGAATAATTTATTTTGCAAAAAATGTTATATTTCCATGAACTAAAGTTAAAAAAACCCCCACAAGTAAATTTTCATCTAAAGGCAAGCTTGTATAAGCTTTGCTTCCAGATCTTTATAATACACTGCTCAGCATTACTACTTAACATTCAGCAATAATTAAGCAGCATCCATTGCACTGTAGCTCCTCTGATTGCAATGTTAACCTCACAGTAATCTCTATTAACACTACAGCATCTTGTGATAATTAATTAAATAACTAGTGTTAACACTGTAGCTCAGGGTTATCACAGGCAGGGGAAAACATCCAAGTTGCTGGGTGTTTGTATAAGCGTCTGCTGACTACAGTCATTTCCAATTGCTTTGGGGATCAATAGCAAGTACTGGCAGAGAGTGTCAAGTGAATGTCAGTCCACTGGATTAATTCTGAGCTCATTATCATGAGTTATAAAGGTCAGGAAGGAATGAGTGTTAAATCTTTTGTAGTCTAAATTTATATTAGGGCAGATAAATAAAAGTAGATTAGTGTTTTGGAGACTTCTCCACTTTCTTTGGAAAGCTACCATAACTCATGACTTTGCTATGAATGTGACTACTGTGGTCACAATTGTTTCTTCCAGATTCAAGACCCATCTTGCAGTGACATGGTAAAGACTAGGTGTACGTTTCCCTGTAAGTCACTGCCTTTGAGGATCGTGCTTGAGAGATGCAAAGGAAATCTAGGATGCAGAGCTAGGCAACCCTTGGAAAAGCTTTTAGACTACAAAGTGATGATGGCATCCTTGGCGAAATTTTTCCCGATTTACGTGCTTTGGCACTTTGTTAACACTTGTAAGAGAAAACTAAAGCTTCCCTTAAAGATTAAAGCGCAGCCTTTCAGTTTTAACAGAAATAATCAACTGAGGGTTTTAAACTGTACACTTGAAACTAGTAGCTCTCTTGGTGGCTTCTCTTACATTTAAGTGATCTGATACACTGGTTCACTGAATATTACCATGCTGGGAGGTATAAAAGAAAACCTGGGGCTAAACCTGCTCTCACTCCAATTTGCATCAGGATTAACATAGTTGATGTCAATATCAGTCTGTTATAAAAGGAGCACTGGCAAACACTAAACCTTGTTGAGGATTTCTTGCTTTTAACTATGCAGTGGATGAAGAATGTCTTAGCAGATAAGGTATTTGTTAAACGATGATACATTTTCCTACAATCAGGAATTACTACAGACCCACTGAGGTAGGTGTAACAAGCATGGGAGAAAATACATAATCAGCAATAATATAGCACATTACACGTTCACAGTGTTCACCTGATTCTTGCCAGAGCAAACATAGGAAATAAGCTTAAAAGAACAAAGCAGTATAATATTGCACACTTGGGACAAGATTTTCTTTATTTTTTAAGTTAAAATAATTAATGGTATCTACTAGAAATGTATAACTTTTGCTGTCTTAGTCTACTGGATAAGTATTACTGTAGATTAATTAGTTGAAAGAAAACAACGACAAACTTACTTGGGAGTGGGTTTGGCCAGGATTATTTTACACAGATTAATTTCTTTTAGCAATTTGAAAAACAATCCTAAAAAAAGCAGCCAAAACACGCACTTCTCCCAAGACCCTGAGTATAAGAGGTGATAGAGAGAGCCTTACCTGCCTGTGCAGCTGTAATTAGAGCTGTGTTCCCTTCGTTGTCCTGCCAGTTCACATCAAGGTGAGGGCATTGTGCTAAGGCTATTACAATATCCACATAACCTTGGTAACAGGCAATGATAAGACCATTCTGTAAGTAAAATATAAAGTGAGAGGGAGGTTTACCAGACTCAAAAAAGTTCAGTGAAGAAGCATACTAGTCTGCTTTTTCATTTATTTTTTTTCCAGACCGAAGAACTGAAAAGGTATCAGCATAACTAGTGATTAGCTCCAGGCACAATGTTCAGATCTCAAACACTCCTTTTTATCTCTGCCCTTTGGCAAGTAACATTTGATACTCCTCAGAAATACCTAAGAGAGTAGGTATTACATTATGCTACATGCAGAGTAACTGCTTAAAAATGGCTCATGTTTATATGGCCTATATATCCAAATATCCAAATATCTATCTATATCCAAATGAGAATAAATCTGTTTTTATTGTATAATAAAATGAAGCCAGCAGGTAAGATGAACTGGACCTGCTCTGATATTAATTCTCTGAAAAACCACTACTACTTCTCTGAAGGGGAAGTGTTAGGCAGGAGTTGTGTTCATACTGCGTGTTGCTATCTTTAAGTACTTCAGGTTTCCCATTAGAACTGCATCTCCTTTTTTTTATAATCATAAATAAAATTAAATTGCTTTTAGAGTTCCTGTTTAATGTGCTTTATGACAGTTGGAATCTGTAAAACTTCCAGGAGGAAGCCAAGACAGGAGGTAAACCTTGTAACTCTGCTTGGTACCCAGATAATGTTTCATTCCACAGGGGTAAAACTGACAATTTCCCTAAAATATAGCAAAATGCAATTGTCATTAATTAAATGGAACTACAGTACTTAATCCTGGCTGCTCACTTGACCACTAGGATGAACACCATTGTCTCTGGTCCTCAGGATTACTTGGGCAGCATTACTGCATAGGGCTGATGGGTTTAGAGGAGGGTAGGTGCAGATAAATTAATACTCCCTGTGCTCCCTCTTCACTGCCAACACATAACTCAGTTTTCTTGAGCTCAGCATCAGTATCTGACTACCAAAAAGAGAAGAGTAGAAACACAAATCCCAAACTCTGGTAACCCTGCTTGCTGAAATGCACTCACACAGATATGTCACAAGTTCATAACCACAAAAGACTAGCAAGAAGGAGAACCTGGTTATGAAAACAGAATGGACCACCCTGACTCCTCCATCACTTGCTAAGCAGGTCTTACCTACACATTCTCTTTATTTCTTTTCCCCATGGACACTACTGAGACAGAGACATTCATCAAATGAAAACGGTGCCTTCTGATTTATTGTCATTATAACTATTTAGTTAATATTTCAGTGTCCTGCTCCACTATTTTTCTGGATAGTTCTGTTGGCTTAGGTGGCAAACAGCTTCACTGCCAACTCTTTAGGCTGTTCAGAGGCTATGTAGGTTATTTCTCAATTACATCTTTCAATAAAAAAATTACTCCGATTTCTTTTATTCTCAATTCTCCCTTGTCCTCATCATGAAGCAACACCCACCACTGCTTTATAAAGAACATCTCCCTTTCCTTGAGAAAAGCCTGTAATACTTCAAAGCCTTCTATTGAAATTGTACAGAGGATTCTTCTAAAAGTAATTTTTTTCACATATATTTTCACTCAAATGTATCTACTTTCCTGGTGGGATTGTTCTGATTAATCTCAGTTTTACTACAATGTAATAGCTTTTAGCTTTTAAAAAAATGTGTCAGTGTCCACTTGGTAAGAACTTCAGCATTATTTTAGTTTCTTTAATAATTTCATTTTTCACCCAATGTTGAGGACATAGTCCTTTACAACTCCAAAAGCTCTGCAGATTTAAAACACTACCCAGTCATTCAGTAAAATGTCAGTTACTAACAATAGCAGAAAACTAAGTCTACAATAACTTTGAGACCTGAAACTCTTGACAATAAGAAGTGAGGTTCTATTGTTCACTGAAAAAAAAGACATTTTTTAAGAGAGTGGTTGTTCCAAAAACGTTGTAAGAATATCATCTCTAATGGATAACAACTGTTTCACCCAGTATCTGGAGGATATTTTTACAGTGTATTTTCACTGAAAAAAATTTGTCTTCTAAAAATATTTATCAGATGCTGAAAAAAAAAAAGTTCTTTTTTTTGATCTCTCTGTAAAAGAATTGCAAACTATAATGAGTAAAATTAAAATATTGTGAAAATACAGTAAAATTTTATAAAACAATAATGAATAGCAAACATTAGGTCTTTTTTGTGAGAGATTTTTGCATTACAGTGTTTTGGGACTTTTTGTCCTACTTTTAGTGGGTATGTCCATCAGATAGGATCTAATGCATCCAACGCTGGCATTCTGATTTCAACAGATATGAGTCACAAATTATCTCAAAATCCATCAAACTCATTCACCATTCTGAGTTTACAAACCAGAAGGATTATTAAGGTATCAACATTTTCTGAAGTTTATTTTGCAAAGACGCTATCAAAGACTGCTTGCTTAAGGATAAAGAAAGACAACAGAGAGTAGGAGCTTCCTACTGAAGCTACATGATGCAGTAGCATGGAAAATCATTCTTGAAGGATGGTTATACAAATCTGAAGTGAGTCAGATAAGAGTGTGAGAATCCAACATTCAGTGGAGTGTGTGCCCAGCCATCCCTGGTAGAGAAGAAAAACAAGCAATCGCATGAGGACATAAAAACAAATCCCTTTTCTGCCATATGGTTACCAGCACTGCCCATGGCTGTAAAGCTGATGTGAGGGCTCCCTTCTTGCCCTCACCCATTACATGTTCCATAGGGTGAGACAGACTGCTTACTGAGGGACTGCTTTCCTTTGCATAACACTTTCAAATGTGTCAGATACTGAAATGGGCTTCAAGGGGCTACAGCTTTAGAATGAAAGTTGCAATAAGCTCCTAGATTTGATGGTTATTTCCCAAATCCTCGTTCAATGATACTATGATGATTTGTGGTACCAAGTTGCTTTTTCTTTCATCTTGTTTTTTTTTCCTCTTTGTGTCCACTTCTGGCCCTGTCTGTGTTCTGCTTGCTGAAAGGTAGTCCAAGCAGATCATCCAGGATGTACAATCAGTCAATAACAATGTGAGTTATTAGTCTGGAATCTTTAAGTTCATACACCAATAAATACCATAATATATTAAAAACTCCTTCAACAGTCCCAATTAATAAATATAAGTGATACAAAATTGCTTTCAACAAACTGCCTTTTGAAGCAATCAGTAAAGCAGTAGTCTGTATCACGGCAGTCTGGAGGAAAATACAGCTGTACACGTAATGTCTTTTAAAAAGATAAAAATAAATTAGTTTTAGTTAGAAAATACCGAACCTGAGCAATCCGAGTACTCTCAGAAAAGAGATGACATTAATGTTCTACCAAAGCATCAATTATTCTGCTCCTCATATGAAGGGTCATGGTGCAATTATGAAGTGGTCAGTGTACACGGGGAAAAAATGTATTTTTTAAATTGAGTTTTACTATTATTTTTGTCAGTAAGATCCATTTTCAGAAATATTCACTACAGTGAAAGCTTTAGAAAAAAGGAAAATTGGTGATTCTTAAAAATATGGCCTTTCCCTCAGACTTCAACGGCCTCCTTCAACAGCAATCTTTCTGCTCTCTTCCCTTTCATATATCCACAGCCACCACTTATTTTAAATAATAATAAAAACTCAAACTACTCCCATTAATATGTAATAATATTAATCAATTATTCAATGGTACAACTCCACATATGTCACAGCATGCAAACACAGTATCCCTGTTTTTCAAGGACTTGCTCTCTCCCCATCAGTGGCCAGAGTTGCTCCTAGAGCAATGAAAGAGAATAGGCAAAAAAATCTGTTTTAATCCTCTGTGCAGAAGAGACCTTAAATATAAAACAAGATTTGCAACAGATCCTATTTAGTTTTTCAAATATCTCATACAGACTCTGTGTGACAAACAAGAAAGCATGAGTCAGCCATCACATCAACTACATTAACATTTGCTGTCTTTTTTCCCACATAAGAGGTGGTTGAAAATCAGCTCAGTAACTTTTTTTTTCCAAGTAGAAACCACAATACTCCCAGGTGTTGAGAGCTCTCTCTTTCCTCTGTGAAATATTTGGCATTTCACAGAGTTTTCCCACAGTTTTTCTATAATATATGACATACCTGATTTTTATATATTTAGCATAGTTTTGAAAGATCCCCCTTTGCTTTGAAGTGACAGAGCAAAATTAACGATACTTTATTTGGAATACATGACAAAACAGTCAGTCTAGGATAAATTATTTATTTTTATAACTAATTTTCTTATTTTCATCCCAGAGCACATAAATGAACATTTCAGGCATGGGACTACATGAAGTTAATCAGATGATGCAACACCTTCCTTGAGCAGTGAAACTTTTGATTCTGTTTAAACTGATAATTCTTCATGTGTCTTTGATTTCATGTAAGACTGGAATAGTGCTGCCATTATGAAAATAACCTCTGTTTTGCTCAGCTGTGATGACATAACATGCCTAAGTGAAGTCATGGATATCTCAGGAGATAATTTTATAAATCAGATATTATGACAAAGTTACAGATGTAAGGCTATTTGTCCAGTAGATCATTAGAAATAATAGAAATCACAAGAAATATTAGAGGATCAATATTGAACTCAAGCTGAACAGCAAGCAAATCACATACAGCATGCAATTAATTTAGCTTTTAAAAAAATCTCTTCAGGCAACTTATTTTCCACCAAAATGCTGAGAATGAAAACAGCTTATTATAGTTTTTTGCCTATTATCCCAGAAAAAAATGAGTCTGGCAAAAGACTAAATTGATATTACCCATTGCCCCTCATAAGCATCTTGATAAATCAACTGCCCAGTTTCCTTTGCATGCATCTGTAAGTATTAATGACAATTCTGCAAGGTTGGTTTACCAGCAATGATTAAAACCACATGTAATTGAATTAAGTCAGATAATGATTCATTGTAATCCATAACCACATGCAAGGACAACTATGAAAATTATGTCTAAGTTAAAAACATATTACACAAAAAATATAATTAAATGCAAGAATAAAAAAGATAAAGGAGTAAAAAGT